AATGCATTTTTTGGCGTTCTTGCTGCAGGAATGCTGGAAAAATAAAGAAGAATAAATGGTTTGGCCGAAGTTTACGCCAGGAATGCAGAAGCCAAACCACGCGAATTTAATTTTATTTAAATTGACTTCAATTAAGTTGTACATTTTTTGTTCACAGGAAGAGAGCTACAATAACTTTTTCAATAAAAATATTAAATACTTAAAAATTGTACTTTCCTACCTCAAAAAAACGAATGCTGTAAGGAAAACAGGCTTGGTTTCAAAGTAATCAACTTAATCGCTTGTTCTCTCTCAATGCCACAAAATATTTTTGCATTGTTGCAAATAGTTTCGCTTTGTTTCGCCTGTCAAACTTCAGGCGGCTGTCATGTTGTGTGAGAGGTGGCAATCGCAATCCAAGGACAAAGTTGCCCCTGAATGTCTTCATTTCGAAAATCGAGTCGAAATCAGTTGGGCATGCCACAATCCCTCCGCTGCAGTTGCAACACGAGCATGTTGCTGCATGTGGCATGAGGATGTGGCAGTTGCAGCAGCAGCAACATCAACAACCTGCGTTGGCATGTGGCAAGCCAACTTGTGTCAAAAACCTGGCAAGTGCCACTTTGTGGCGGTTGTGGCAATGGCCCTCGTCCACTTCCAACAGCAACAGTTATGCGTCCGTAGTATCCCCTGTAGCCCCCTAAAAATCATCCCCTTGACTTTGAGGGGAGCAAGGGGGTCACCCACGTCCTGTCTGTCGGGCATTTTGATTGAAATGTGTTTGTTTGGCTGCGGCTTTTACGCTGTCCCTTTTTCCCCTCGCCAACAAACCTACACTCCACCTGCTTTTCCAGTCACCCAACTCTTCATCCAAAAAACAATAAATGCGAGAAAACAAGAATTTTGCACGAACCAAACGAAACCGAACTGAAACGAACCAAACGAGAGGATATCCGTTGCTGGCCATGCACTGCACAGAGAAAAAAAATCAGTATAATTATAAATAAATTATTTTATTGTCTGGGAGACTAGAGCTTGAAAAATATCGATATTTTGATATTTTCACAATATTGTGGCGACGATACGGATGAAAAACAAAAGGAAAACAAAATAAAATCGATTTAAAATTTTATAAATATGTTTCTAATATAACTAAAAAAAATTAAATGTTTGCAAATTATCGAAAATATCGATAATGTCGATATTTTCTACTAGAAATCGCTTTATTATCATTATTTGATAGCCCAAAGGGAAACGATTATTTCTCGCTTTAATGCTTAAGTACTTGTAGTTGGGAAATAGTTACTTGCCATTAAGTTTTACGAGAAGCAGCAAATACCAATGATAAAATGAAAATGTTAATGAGCAATAATATGGTAATGAACGTCAAGATGTCTGATGAAACTGTGTAATTAAAAGTTAAATAACTTTTGCAGACTAAAATACCATTGTAAAATAAATTATATATTTTATAGAGCTACTGAAGATAAAAAAATCAATAAAAATTGATCATCATCTTCTTGAATCGATTTAAGGTTTCGATTTCTAAGTGATAGGTATATATTCTTCAAGTGTAGTCCACAATTCCATTCCAGAGTCGAGTACAATATGACCATGGAGGAGAATCGGATGGACGTGGACATGGAATGCTCCTGTTGATGTTGTTGTTGCCGTCGCCGTCGATGTTGTGAGGCATTTCAGTGGCACACCCACAAATCCGCACATCCGCATCCGCATGGAGAGCGGTATGAAAAGTTGCAACAGCAGCAACAACAAGAACTCAAACTGTTGCAACATTTGCGGTGACTTTAGTGTCTGTCAGATGAAACAATCCAGAAAAAGGTGGGAAACACTGAGCACAGAGCGAGGGAAATGTTAAGAGAATGGTGTTTTCGAGGATATAAACATGGATATATTTAAACTTTAAAGGAAGATAAAGAACAACTATTTAATTGTCTGTAGTCGGTTTATGTTAATTGATTTCACAGCTTCTGATATGAGTTGGTTATATAACATTGAGATGACATTAAGAAACCCATTTAAATGTCAAAAAACAACATTCAAATCGATTAAAAATTTACATAATAATTATTAGTAGCTTCTCCTTGAATCTTTTGTTTTTGGCCCCTGGGTTTTTTGACCAACAGCAGCGACAGCTTTTCACTTGTCTGGGGTCACGCCCCCTTTTCGCCTTGCCCCTTTTCCGCCTTCGAAAACAAAATACCACTCCTCTGGGTATCGTTTAGTTTCGGCAAGTTGGAGTATACAATTTGCTTTGCTTTCGTTTTAATTTATTTTATTGCAAAATGCATTTCTCAGCTCGGTTGACTTGGGTTTGGATTCGGTACTTTCCTTGGCCCCCAAACCGAAAGGCGAAAAACCGAAAAGCCGAACTGAACCCCCTGAAAAGCGAAGCGAACCGAAAGTGTCGCCGCCGAAATGGAAACAAATTTAATTTAAGTGTCAGTGACGGGGTTCGGTTTTCGCGGGGAGACCGCAGAGAACTTGGCCCGGAAGAAGTTTATTTTCTTGCATCGCCTGGTGCATTATTTTCCCCAGTTTTTTGTCCAGAGTCAGCTGTGTCGTAGCTCTCGGGTCTCCAGTTCTCCGGTTATCATCATCGTTTTGTGGCAAAAACGACACGCAACACCATTATTTGCCACACACTGACAGCCGGCAATCGCAATCCGAATCCCGTCAAGGACCTGCGATTGTTTCCCTTTCTTTCCCTCAGTCCATATGGTCCGAGGGCCGTTCGTCGTTATTTGTCCGCCCCGTTGTCCTTTGAGTGTTACTTGAAACAACTTGAACTAAACTGCTGAACACCATGCACTTGCAGAACCCAAACCCCCGCTCCTTTCGTTTTTAACCAGGTTTTTGGCTAGCTGACAAAACTTTTCGCCATTCGGGGATATCGGGGATGTGTGCGCAAAGACTTTTAAGCGCACAAGGACACTTGACAGCAGGCAGCAGGACACCCGTCCCTGACTTTTAAAGCCACGTTACGTGTCCTCGCCAATTTAATTGGACCCTAAACAAGGGTTAAATCGGTACTTTCCCCCCAAAAAAAGCCAAAAAAAATAATGAAAACAAAAGGAGATAGCCGATAAGCAACACGCATGTGGCAGAGTGCAAATTATGGGTCGCGAATAAAATTGGGGAGTTACAAGCTGCATTGGGGAGATTTCACAGAGAATATTGCACGATCGGATGTGACACATGACCGGAATGTAAAGTTTTAGTCATACCACCTGCTTGGGGTTTTACGAATCCATTTACAATGGTAATTAAGAATTTACATAATTATTACCCCTTGATTAATAAATAAATTTAATTTATCGTTGAAGAAAATATCATCTTTCTCAAAAATTATGTAATCGATGAAAAAATGCATTTATTAAACATTATTTACTTTTCTTTATCGATAAACTCGATATTTTTATTAAATTCAATTTTTTCGATACTTAAAATTTCGATATATTAAACTTAAAGATATTTTCGATACTCGATTGAGCTCAAATCATTTCCATTGGCTATAAGAATGCCTTCCAAACGACCAATGAACCCTTCGAACTATGAGGTAATATGTTCATAGCTCGCATATATCGCAACAAAGTTTTTCTCAGATTTCGTACAGCCAACTGCGGACTAATGATCTACTAAGTGATCAAGTAAAACATTTCCTGATTGTTTAACGCGTATCCAAATTGAAACTAGCAATTAGCAGCTGTTTGAGCAAGGGTAAACAACACCCAGCACACTAATTATCGCACTACTGTGATGACCTCACCATCAGTGCAGATCCACTGATCTCATTTGCAGTCCGTCAGAGTCCGAGAGTCCGATAGTCCGCGAAAGCCCAGCTGATCTCAGCCTGAACGCACAAACAAGATGACGTATACGCCGTGTGGCCGCCTCAATGACGTCAGTTTTGCATTCGCCGCCGTGTGTCATCGATTGCAACAGCCAGGCAAGAGCAGCTAGCAGAGGTCTCTATCTCTATCTCTATATCTGTATCTGTAGATCCCCCGATGGCGGTGACTAATGCCCCAGCCGCCGCCAATGTGGGTCAGGCATGAATTTGCATTTGGCCAAGTCTATTTCGGGCCGACGGCAGCTAATGCACAAAAATATAACCAAAATATTTCGGTCATAAAATCAGCGACAACATTGCGAATTAATCATACGGCTCGAGTTGAGTTAAGTGTGTTCGTGGTGGTGCCAGGCAAAAAATTGTGTGGGGTGAATAATGGTTCGGGTCTAGCCAAGGGGATACCCTGGGATTTTCTACAAATGTCAGGTGTTAAATTATAAGTCCATCGAAGAAGAATAACACACCTCAGCATGTTAAAATTTCTCTGATTTTAAGATACAAAATATTTAAGATATCGAAAAATATCGATATTTATTGTATAATAACGATATATTTAAATCAAGATATTGCCTAGCTCAAATATCGAATATATCGATATTTAGATATCACCATTTTCTTTTCAAACATTAAATGTTATCGATTTATTTATCAAAATGTTCGACAACCCTAAATCATAATAAGTTCATTAGATTCTATACCCTCTTACTCCTGGCTCAGTAAACCACACACAAATACCGGGAACCCAAATCGGAGACGGCGGAGTTAGAGGACTAGTTGGCCAAAATCAATTGACATGATTTCCACATGAATTGCCATAACAACAACACAGTGCTAACCCATATAAATTGCAGCTCGCTCGCGGTTCGTGGTACGAATGTTGGCCACCCAAATACGCAAATGTATCTCCGCTGATCGATCAAACTTGGTCCGCCGCCCCGTAACCATTAGTAACTCGATTGCTCCGTCGACTTGGAGGCCCTTGAGGCAAACTAACCTAAGCCAAGTCGAAAGACGAAGCGTTGGCCAGAAATCAGTTGGGCAACAGCGAGCCAAGGAGCTGGGACGCAACGCGCAAAAATCCACAAAAAGGATTCCAGAGGAAAAACTGCAGATTCCTTAACTTCAGATACCTACACTCGGCGAAAAGATGTGCGACTGCGGCTGCTATTCGTACTGTCTGCACGACACCTCCTGCTACAGCGGCCACTACCACTCGCATTCGCACTCGCATCACTGCTGTGCGGGCTACAAGTATCTCAAGTGCCTCTGTCGCTACTATCGCCATGGGCACTGCACCTGCTCCTGCTGGCGGCGGAAATGCTACCTGCTCTAAGAAGGAGGAAGACGCTGAAGAGGAAGCCCCCCTCCCAGGATCAGAATCGGGATCAGGATGAGGAGGCGCACACACAACACCACACAAATCACAACTCAAACAACGTAAATCAGCAAAGAAATCACACGATAAAGTCCTTTAAGCAGTTGCATAACACTTGGCTGCATCCAATCGAGCAGGAGTGAAAAGTGGAAAATGAAAATGGCAAATGGTATGGGGAAAATGGCGAATCAGGAGGGGAGACGAGCAAACAACTAGCGTGCATACGGGTCGTATGTGCAACGTTTTCAGTTGTCGTGTGAGTGAGTGAGTGTGTGACTGCAGCCGTGTGCGTGTGAAAATGGTTCAAGGATGTGGCCAACACTGTTATCGACTGCGTTTTGCATTTTGCATCTGCAAAATCCCCATTCACACCCCAAAATCACACGAACACACACTTGAAACCAGTGAAGCAACTCGAATTAGTGCGTAAGTTTTACTTCACACAATACACACACTCGATTAACACCCACACACACAACACATCGTTATCGAATCTAAATACATCCAATGTTAGAGCGTAGTGCGTATCGATCGACGTTCGAGATTTTCGCCATATTTGTAACGTTTCCAATCCAAAAACAATCCAAAAATAAAGTTTTCTCCAACACCACTAAAGAGATGATGTTTGTTATGGCGGGGGAGGAGAATCGATAACCAAAATCGATAACCTTTAGATACAACCTTGTGCTTTTAGAATGCAACCCTGTTTATTTTTATTTGGATCACCCTAACGAGTAAGATAACCTTTTGCAGACGCAACCTTATGCCAAACCCAAATTCACTTGCTCTAATTATCATCCCCCAATCCAGGCATTAATCTGAATTATGATCATTAGAGTCGCCCTAATGCCACATAATATCTCCGCAGGATTGGCCCCATATTTTCTCGCCCATCGTAATCATCTTTTCTGACTTTGACTTCGATGAGTTTTCTCGTTTGTCGCGTTTTTGTTGACATTGCCCAATTGGCCATATGCAAATACCAACAAAGACCCTCTAAGCTGCTACGAACCCCTCGCCCTTTTTTCGACAGCTGTTGTTGGTTGGAAAAGCGCCACCGGAAAAAAAGTGGAGTCAAAAATGGAAGTCTGGCTGTCATTATGTGCATTGAATTACGTTTATTTGATGGGCCCCGCTCCCCGTGAAGTCCTCCATTCCTTCGCCAGCAATGATTATCCGCCGTAACGACACCTCCCCGCCCCTTTTTTCGGTGCCATTAAAGGTGTTCCGGCCGACAAACAAGGTGATTATGGCCAAGCGACTTGCTCTCTGGACTCCTGCTAATGGACTCGCACTCCGATTGGGTGGGTCAACTGCGGGAAAGCGGGGGAAAAACGGGAGGAAAATCGGTGAAAAGAGCAGGCAAAATATATACAAGTGTATTTGCTGTATATGTAAAAGAAGCAGAAAAACTGAGGGGACAACGCGAGCATTTATTTAAATTTTGCACTGCAGGTTCACAAGGACGTGACTGCGAGTGTCGAACAAATTCCTTGATCCCCTGCTCCATGGCTTTTCCAACCCCCCCTCCTCCCACCCCGGGAGTTGGAAATTTTCCGACTGCCTCATGAATATCAAATGATGACGCAGCATTAACGCAAAGGGATGGGAGCTGTGAATGGTGACTGAAATTGGGACTGGGGGTGTATCAGCTTTGGTATTGGTTTTTGATTATCCTGCAATGCAAGTTGATAGGGGGCGGGGGAGGGGGTTCTGTGGGGGGTGACATTCCTGTTAACATTTTAATTAACATTTTGTTGGCAGATCGTAAAAATTTGTCGGACATTTGAGGGACAGATTCGAAAAGCTTTTTACTACAGGTTTACAAAGCATATTGAGGGAAAACTCGTACTCTTTAATAATGATGAGAATGATAAAAATAAAATATCCAACAAAATACTAAGCATTTATATTTAAAGGTTTCAACGAACTTTTTTTTGTCACTTATCTAGCCAAACTCTTAGCGGATGCGTCCAACTAGTGGCTGCCGAATCCGCAACTATTATCTTTTGGTACAGTCACGCTAATGAAGTCCCCGCCCACCGCAGACCACCGCCCACCTCCCTTCATTTCCACTTATTCCCCGCTTTTTATGACTTCGGCCTCATAAAATTTTCCAGCTGACTAAATTTAAATTGCGCATGCAGAAAAAAAAGCACACACTCTCACTGACAACAGAATAAAGCAAAGCCAGCAAAACAAAACAAAAAATTGATGGAGGATTTTGGGGGGCGGCAGGTGGACCGAGGAGAAGGGGGCGTGGCTGGCGACGAGGATGGCGCTTGACTGCAACAATGTTGCCGCAGCATAATTGTCTGGTGCTTAATGCGCTTGTATGCTCGATTACCGCTCTGCCTTACCGCCGCTTCTCCGCCTCCTCTGGCCACTCTTTTTCGCTTTCTTCACTCCTCTGGCCACTCGGATCAGAAAATTTTGCAACGCCAGACCAAAATGAGGAGAAAATATGAATTGTTTTATATTTTTTCGTAGGTTGGACTAGGGATTTCTAGTCGTGTGCTGTGGGCGTGTGAGTTGGGCGGTGTGTGTATAAATCTTTTACACTGTTAAACCAAAAAAAAAACGAAAACCTTAAAAAACTCACTTCACTTGGGTGGTCTGCGTCCGCCAAGAGTTTATCGATAAATAACCAAGCACTTTTCCTGGAAAAGATTTTCCCTATACCGTATTGATGGTGATTTATTGCATTCAATTTTAGGAAAATCTCCCATTTATTGGAGATACATCTTGGGGTTGATTTATTAAGTGATAAAGCTGGACCATTAAGTAAATCTTGACTTACTGGCATCCTGACTTTTATTGTAGTTATAATTTAAAGCTAATAGACTTTGTTATTTTAAATTTGATATTTTAAAAATAAACAAAAATAAAATGCTATTTAAATAAATATAATTACTCTTTGTAAAACCCATCGAAAATGATGATGATCCCAACTCTCTTCTTCCCTGTCATCATCTTTCCCGCCCGGTTAATCATCATTTTACAAGAACTTCCAACTTTGGAGTCATTAAACTGCACGAGACATACGAAATCGGTTTAACAGGAACTCGTCAGCTTCCCCTTAACCCCGTGCTCACCGAATTAACCCATTGCATCCATCGTCGCTCGGGGCTCAATCAGTTGTCAGTGGTTCCTTTTCACACTGTTTGCCAGATCTATTAGCAGCCGCATGACACAAAATGCTCTGGCCATCAAGTCTGCGAAACCCCTTCCTCTTAACCCCCGTCTTAACCCATTTTTACCCCCGTCTGCGAGACTCTGGCTCCTTCATTATGTCTGTCCGCATTTGGTGCAACAATGTTGCAGTTGAATTATGCTCAAGAGGCGGAGAGGAACAAACAACTTAAGCGCTCAAACTTGAAGTTTTTATTTATTTTAATTCTGCTTAAACCCCGCTAGCCCCTTTGGCTTAACCCTTTCTCACCCCTCTCTCCGGTTGGTTGGTAAAAAATTAAGTTTAGTGCGACCCAAGACGCCGACGACTTAATGATGCCTTTTGGTTGCTCTTGGTCCCAACTTGTTGGCCTCCGTTTCTCCGTTTCTGTTTCTGTTTCCGAACGAATTGAACTGAGTTGGCAGCCCTCGAGCTAGACAACAATTGCAAATCATTGAAGTCATTAGCACGACGAGAGTGAGATGGCGAGAGGTGCGAGCGAGAGGGAAGAGAGGGGGTTATCTTCCATCTTTCCAAGCCCATTTGGAATCATATTTAACTGTTTGGCGGAAAAAAGGGAGGAAAAGCCTGTCTTTGGTCAGAAAATATTTCAATACCCTGAAAATTGATAATCCAAATATTATTGGTGTTCATGTGTTTATCACTTTTAATTATAATAATATTTTCGTTACATGACAAGGAAAGTGTAATTAGTTTCGGGTGAAGTATTAGTATTATTATTATTAGTATTATTTTCCAAGAAAACTAATATCAAATTTATAGGACACACCTTTCAAAGTTTTTCATAACATATTTAATACAATAAAAAACCTGTATTTTTTTGGGAAAAATAAATCCAACAATTATGAAAAGAAATTAAAAAAAAGAAATCAAAATTCAAAAATGATTTCAAAGTTAATACTAAGATTGAATTATTAGAAAAGTTGACAAATAAAATCTTCAAAATGCTATATATTAATTAGTTTTAAAAATCTACTCTAAATTCTGTCGGATACTCTAGGAATTATATCGTCAATTCCTTTGCAACATTATCGAAACGTTATGCATCTTGGTTTTATATTAAATTCCGTAGTCAAATCCTTTTAAAAAAAATCATCATCCTCCATGGATAGGGTATGCAAAACTACAGCAAATATTTTGCCAACTCACGCTCCCATTGTGTGATCTGTCTTGCACCTATCTCCCCCCTGTTCCCCCGGCCTGTCTGCCCTCTTTTTGCACGCCCCCCTCCCTTCAAAATCCCCCTCTAAAACCCCCTCCCCTGATCTGTCCTGGTTTCTTTGCCTGCAATCGCGATCATCTTTCACTTTCTGCCGCTGGCGCAGGCGCAGCATTTTTGCAGTTTTTTCTGCATTTTTTGCCGTCTGCAATCTGCTTCTTTTTTATTTAGCAAATGCAATTCATACATTTCCATTGAGCTGTCTGTCTGCAACCCCCCTCTCAAACCCCTCTGCCACGTCTGTGGCTGCAACAATGTTGCTAAGTGAAGTGGAGGCAAATGTGCAAAAAAAATTGCACATTTTGTTTGCCGTTGTTGCAGTTGCTATTTGTGTGTTGTTTTCTGTTGCGCTGTTTTTGCCGTTTGTTTTTGTTTTTGTTGTCTTCTGTTTCGTTGTTATTTGCTGACAACAAGTCTCTGCTTTGGCCACAGATTTCCTTTTTGCGTGTCTGGCTGTTTTTCAGCGGGTTTTCCCCCTGCTCTTCGTCACCTCGCTGGCAATTTTCCTCATCATTTTCATATTTTTCACCACTTTTTTTCCCATCTCTTTGGTCTCTTGTTATTGCCGCGTTGCTAATTAACAGTTGGAACCAACAAACGCAATTTAAATTCAATAAACAAACAGACAACAAATTACTCATACGCCACGTAAGCCTTGGCGAACACAAAAACATCAACCAAACAATAACAAATCATTATTTTGGCGTTGAGAATTTTTTGTTGACCTTCTCTAATGACCGCCGTGATGATTCTGATGAGGATGGCAATGATGATGATGATGATCTTATCATAATATTTTGCAATTGCAAGGGCGAAAGCAGAAAGTCCAAGCTAAATAACAACAATTTGCAGATAAAAAAAAAAACGAAATTCGGGTGAAAACGACAACAACAAACCGTGAAGCATCAACAAAAAAGCAGAAAAAAGACAGCCACAAATTGACAATAACAAAAAACAGAAAAAAAGAGCGTTCATTGCTTCTCTGTTCATTTTTGGTGCGGTTTCGGCTAATGTGTGTCAAAGTAAAACGCAATTTATGATATTTATTACGTGAGCCAATTCCGATTTGCAAAAAAAAATGAGCGAAGCAGAAAAAAAATCTGGGGTCTGTGGGGTACAAGATAAAAAGCAAAACAATCCCCAACTAGACAACCGCAACGGAGGAAAACAAACTCATTTTAATGAAACTCTTTTGGAATTTCG